AGTCGAACTCCCTACCTACGATTTCGTGTACTCAGTTCGGCAGATTACACAATATGATGCAGACCTATATAGTCAACAAGAAGCCAAATTACAGCGACAATCTCAAAAACATGGTCTTGACCTTGATGTGCAGTATAAATCCAGTTCACACTACTACAAGAAGCTTAAAGCTCAAGAGGTAAAAATTCTGCCAGGTTTCCCCGTCCAGCTCCAAACAACCGCCACCTTGTGCAGAGGATCCAAAGGACCACTTCAACTCATCATACACAAACCAGTCACCTTGCGGTTGTTTGCCGCCGCCCGCTTTGGGACGGCAACGCTTCGTGTGTTAGACCAGCAAGACCACCATGTTACCTGTCAGGTATTAGAAGGTCATGTCCCTACACACGATGACCTCATTCAGGACATTTATGCTTTTGAACTACCAGAAATGGCGACACCTTTCCAGACATACTGGTCGCAATTTTGGAATCGGGATTCAGACTTGGATGAACACAGTGACGACTCTTGGCAGGAACTTCTGCAAACGCTTCGTAACCGTATCCCACCTACTGCTCCACTCACGATTCAGTGGAATGACCCTCATCTTTTGTCTCAGACAATTCAACGACTGAAGCCTTTCAAGGCAGTGGGCATTGATGGATGGAGAGCTGAGGAACTGCAGATGCTTCCACCCGCAGCCATACAAGATTTCGCGCATATTCTCGAATCGATCTGGCCCACTGGCCTTTCGGCGCACCAACTCATAGCCCGTGTGATTCTTTTGGCTAAACGAGTCCCACCTACATCCATTTCCGACGGTCGTCCCATTACAATCCTGGGTTACATTAGCCGCCTCACATCCAAACTTATTGCCGACCAATTGTTAAATCAGTGGACGCATACCTGGCCAAGTGCCATATCGGGGGGTCTTCCATTCAGGAGCGTACAAGATATTACGTTTATCCAGCAATATCAGATCGAATCAGCTAAGCACCGGTCACTGCCTTGGCGAGGTTTTACTCTCGACCTTATCAAAGCATTTAATCTCTTACCCCGTCGGGTGCTGTATCACTTACTCATCTATCATGGCGCACCACCTCAAGCCATTCGTTTCTGGTTTACAAACCTCAGCCGCATGACTCGTCGCCTGCAGATTCGTCAACAGGTAGGTCCCCCTATCACCATGACTACGGGAGTCCCTGAGGGAGACAGTATGTCTGTCTGCGCCATGCTTGTTGTGTCATCAGCATTTTACTGGACCCTTCAGTCCCCCACTGTTTTTCCATACGCATATGCTGATAACTGGTCCTACCTCACAACCACACAGAGAGATAATCTCCACGCACTCCGGCAGCTGCAACGTTTAGTTGAAGATCTTCGTATGCAGATAGATTATACTAAATCCTGGGCATGGGGTGCTACAAAAGAGGCGCGGTTGGAATGGCAAACGCTCCTTGAGGAGGAATTTCCTGATGATAACCCGGTTTGCATCCTTAACTCAACCAAAGATCTCGGCTGTATGACTCATTATACACGCCATATTACACTGGGACACCTTAAAACAAAGATTAATAGTGCAGTCCAGAGATGTCGTCGACTGCGTTGGTTCCAGACCACCATCACCCAAAAGGCCCAGTTTATCCAAACAGCAATTTGGCCACACGCTTTCTTCGGAGCAGAAACTCAAATTGTCGGGGAAAAGCATTTTCGAACACTCCGACGTGAGGCAACCATTGCCTTAATAGGACCGGAAAAACAGATCTCAAGCTGGCTCGCAGTCCACCTTTTTAGTTCCCAACTTCAAGACCCTCTACTATATGTTATCGCCACAGGACTGTCTTTTATACGTCGGCTCTATCATACCAATCCGCAGCTTGCACAAGAATTCGTTCAGTCCATAGTCTGTCACAACGGACCGCCCATTGGTCCAGCAGGAGCCATGGCCAGATATTTACAATTAGTTGGATGGTCCCTAGCCACTGACGGCTCTCTCACACTCGATGGCTATTTGTCTGTCTCATTGAGACATGATACCCTTCGATCGATTCGACACATGATTAGACACTCTTGGGCATATTACCTTAATCGTCAGATTTGCCATCGCAAAGGAGTCCCTGTCGATCCTTTCGATTATACCATTTTGTCTCGCGCTCTGCGATCAATGTCTCCCACGGCTATTCGTCAAGTTGCCTATAATCTTACTGGAGGATACCAAGTGGGTGCGGTCAAGGCCCAATGGACATCTACCGTTGACATCAGATGTCCTCATTGTGGGCAACCCGACACACATACCCATCAACAGTTGGACTGTCCCAAATTCCATGCTATTCGACAACGTCATCCACAGGCAGTGTCATACCTAACTCGTAATCCACAGAAACTATGGCTCCCACTGCCACACACTTTCCCGGACATTACCATCCTGCGACAGCTCCTTGCGCATCGTGGCGCAGATACAGGCCATACACCCATTCGCCTCCATGATGACACACTCTATTTCTACACAGATGGTTCCGCCGATACACCAACTCACCCTGAGACTCGCCGGGCGGCTTGGTCACTCATCCAGTTCTGTCCAGATCCATCCTCTACACCCTATATCACAATCAAAATCCAACATGTACAAGGACAACAGACTATAGCCCGAGCCGAACTTGCTGCCATTACATGGATTACACAGCACGTGCGACAACAATCTTGGCCACACAAGATCACCATTACCACAGATTCCCAATATGCCATAAACGCCGTTGGCCAAGTCTCTCAGCCTAATCCTTCACTACAGTGGCATCGACTCGCAAATGCCGATCTTTTGCAAACCCTTGCCACTTGTTGGGATCCTGAACGTTTTTCATTACGTAAAGTTCGATCCCATCAGGACCCACAAACCCTACCTCCGGGTCCCGCCCGTGATGATGTCATTGGCAACTCGTGGGCTGATCATGCTGCAGTCCGAGCGCGTCACACTGATCATGTTCAAATTGACACACTATTTCAACGAGCAGACCTCTGGCACCAGGACCAATTACGCCAGACACAGTGTATTCTCACCTATCTTGCTGATCTTAACCTGTGTCATGCTCAGGAGAAACAACAATCAAAGCTTCAGACGTATACCGATCTATCTCATGATACATCATTAGATTGGGGTGCCCTCTATAGGTCCAGAGCAGTTTACACCATCCATGCTGCAGTCCACTTTTTCCGTCCCCATATACACCCTGCTTTCGTTACTGCTTGTGTTTGGGGTAACCAATATGCAGATTTAGTCCTTCAGTTTTGTGCCGCACTCCGATGGCCAGATCCTGATTTAGACCACTCGGATCCAATTGTGACTTCTGGAATTACATGGCTTGAATTGACCATAGCATTCGTAATTAATACAGGCCTCCAATTTCCCACCTGGCTATGTCTTGACGACCACAAACGTTCACAACCATTACACTGGCAAGACCCACGGGTCCTTGCCCTACCAACTATCAAACGATCGCTACGAGAACAAGCTGAGGCGTTTCGCACCATCGTTCTATACCTTCAGGGTTACTCAGATACCCCCCTGCTGCCAAAATTTACCAAGACTGGCTCTATCAGCCTTACGCAAATTGGATGGGGAAGATCCTTTACAGGGGGCATGCCTTTGCGACCAGAGATCCCTAATTCAGACCTTGTTCAGCGAACGATTTCGCGATATGTTGAAGACCTTCAATGCAAACCACCTTTCCATCCAGATGGCATGATTCCCATGCGACATGCCTCACCGATTTTTGCAGTTCCGCCGGCTACAGAGCTTACGTTTCATCGACGTTTTCTGTACCGACGTAAACTTCGCGAAACATGGCATCGAGGAGGGGATCTTGACGGAGTCACAGTGCCACCAGCACCCAATTAGTTATGTGCAACCATTTTGCAGAATTCCTAACTTGCTAGCCTGTCATCCTAGCACATTGTATAGCTACCTTTTCACAATGTCTTACCAAAAGATATTTACCGAACTCCTCGACACCCTCCAACACGGAGAAGGGTCGTAGGAAGCGCGCAGACTGCGACCGCAAGTTTCGTGAGTAGTGAGGCCAGGAGCCCCTAGTAGCGTTCTTGCTCCTAGTAGTGAGGCCAGGAGCTTTTAGTAGCGTCCTTGCTCGTAGTAGTGAGGCCAGGAGCCCCTAGTGGCGTCCTTGCTCCTAGTAGTGAGGCCAGGAGCCCCTAGTAGCGTCCTTGCTCCTAGTAGTGAGGCCAGGAGCCCCTAGTAGCGTCCTTGCTCCTAGTAGTGAGGCCAGGAGCCCCTAGTAGCGTTCTTGCTCCTAGTAGTGAGGCCAGGAGCCCCTAGTAGCGTCCTTGCTCCTAGTA